TACTACTGTTTTCCAAAATTGGATGAATAAACACAACTCTTGCAGTCTGATTAGAGGCAAAAAAAAAAAAAAAAAAAACAAATTTTTAATAAAAAAAAAAATATATACGTAATTATTGGATTAATTTATCTTACTGCGGGATCTTGATGTAACGAGTTTATTTTAGGAAATGACAATTATTGACTAAATAAGACTATCGTACGTACGGGCGCAGACACCGCAGTCCAGTCATTGCTTAATAAAAGTTCGAACAAAATTTGTTTCCCTCATACGAAAATTTACCTTAAACCTTTAGTTTTTGACATGGAAACTTCAACTTCGAATAATGCGTCCGCAAACTCTGATCAAACTCAATCCCCATCTAATCAACAAGACGGTTCTGTTCTTATAAATAATCATTCAAGAACAGGATCCGTAAGTCAAAATAATTCTGTTCCCCGAGAAAATAATAGGAGAGGTCGTTATCGTAATCGCGGTCGGGGCAATGATCGATCACAGAACATTAGTCGGGAGAATACGAAGGTTTTTTCGGCTAATCCGTCTAATGAACTAAGCGAACCACAGGTAGTTTCACACTCAGAAACTGCTTCTACTTCAAGAAGTAGAGGATCGAGGCATTCTCGTTATCAACGAGGAAACAATATAAGTAGTAATGTTAGCCAAAGTCCCGGTTCACAAAACCTTAATCAAGATCTAACTTCTAATATAGCTGACGAGTCAAGTGAACAACCTGCAATTCAATCAAATTCTCATCACACTTCAAATTCAAGACACAGAGGGTCATCAAGGCGCTTTCATCATCGGAAAAGGGATAATACAGATCGAACTGCTAATCAACATTCCGGATCAAATTATGATCAAATAAATGTTGGTGAACCGAGCGAGCAACAATCAGGTTCTCAGTCTACTTCAATAAATAATAGAAACTATGATGTTGATTCTTCTGAGAGTCGAAGACACCGTTTTAAAAATAGACCTCATGAAAGGAATGATCATGATTCCCAAAATGTTTGCTCTGAGAGTGCCGATTCTCAGACACTACCTATATCACAAGCAACTGATAATGTTATCTCCCAAAGAGGTAGGCCGTCTCACCGTCGTGGTAGGTATAGAGCACCACGATCATCAAACAGAACGAGCGGGACTCACATCTCACAAAATGAAAATCGAGGAATTCCCAAAGATTCGATAACGAGTCAAGTAAAAAATAACGACGGCGTTATCTCAGAATCTTCACCTGAGAACTTTTCTTCAAAAGTTCAGTCTTTAAATTACACAGAAAATTCTCAGTCCAACAATTCAGATAATGGACCACTGATAATCTCTGATAATAAGGGCAAAAAACCGGAGCCAGCTATAGCTGAATCATCATCATCCCAGTCCAATTCAAATTTAAATTCTAAACAAAAACATTCTCGCAATAATTATCATCCTAAAAAATCTTCCGTTTACATGCTTTCTCCTAGTGATATCAAAGACGTGCGTACCTCTATAACACATGGCCTTACAACCTCTACCTATGAGTGTATGATATGTTGCGAAGTCATTAAGCCTCATAATAAGACATGGTTCTGTGGAGTTTGTTGGGCAGTTTTTCATCTTTCATGCACGCAAAAGTGGGCAAATAAGTCGATTAAAGACGCAGGATCCTGGCGTTGCCCAGGCTGTCAAAACAGAACGGAAATTATTCCCGATACATATCAATGCTTTTGTGGTATGTAAAAATTCTACAGGTTTTGCATTTGTGTATTCATAAACTTGACACGTTAGTTATATTACAGGTAAGAAGGAAAATCCACCGAATTCTAGATATTTTACTCCCCACAGTTGTGGAGAGGTCTGTGGAAGAAAACGGGATTGCCCTCATGATTGCACTCAGTAAGAATTATTTTTATTGGTGTACTCTTATAACCGTTGAAATGTACATCTTTTAATTAATGTTCCATACAAAAAAAAAAGGTTGTGCCACCCTGGTCCTTGTGATCGCAATTGCTATGCTATGGGTCCTGTTCAAAATTGTTTTTGTGGTCGCCAGAAACTTCAACTTCTTTGTATTAACACAGATTATTCTGGAAGATCATGTGGATCTACTTGTGAAAAATTGCTTGAGTGTGGCAAACATTATTGCGAACAAAAATGCCACGATGGCGTATGTTCAAAATGTGATGTCATAGAGTTACAAAAATGTTATTGTGGTCGGTCAGAGCGTGAGATCAAATGTGGTGAAAGAATGGGCATTCATTGTTATGACAATTACAATGACAATTCGAACGAATGGACTGGTTTCTTTTCATGTGATCGTGTTTGTGCGCGGTTACTTGAGTGTGGAAAACACTTCTGCACAAAAATATGCCATCCAATCACTGGTGAAACAGAACCATGCCCGTCAGATCCTTCGAAAGTTCAAGATTGTCCTTGTGGTGCGCATACTATAGAAGAATTGCTTGGGCGTAAAAGGATATCATGCGACGAAGAAATCCCTCTGTGCGGAAACATTTGTGGAAAGATCCTTTCCTGCGGTCATCTGTGCACAGACAAGTGCCATCACGGAGACTGCAAGCCTTGTTCCGTTATTGTAACTGTCAAATGTCGTTGTGGTAGTACCGAATTTGAGAGAGCTTGTTGTGAAGTTGTAGGGGAATTTAGTGAACCACCATTGTGTGAGAAAATATGCAAGGGATTGAGAAGTTGTGGAAAACATCAGTGTAACGTTAAATGGTAAAATATTTTCTTTTAATTTTTTATCGATTTCGACTATATAAAAAATTAACATTTATGTTATATCTTAGTTGTCCTTCGGCCAATGTTAAGCAGAAACAACCTAAAAGATGGGGTACTCCTCGAGATGGAGAAAATGATACAAATCATTTATGCCCTTTATTGTGTGGCAAGATGCTACAATGTGGTAACCATACTTGCCAGCTTCTTTGTCATAGAGAACAGTGTATGTCTTGTTTGGAAGCTTCTTTTGAGGAGTTGTCATGTAACTGCGGCCGCACTAAGGTTTATCCACCAATTCCATGTGGGATGAAGGTTCCAAAATGCCAGTATGAATGTAATCGGAATCCTTCCTGTGGTCATGCCGCAGTTTCACACTTATGCCATTCTGATGAGGAACCATGTCCACCATGCCCTTACCTTGTCAATGATAAAATGTGCATGTGTGGTAAGTCAGTGGTTAACAATATTCCTTGTCATAAGACAAATGTCGGTTGTGGAAAATTATGTGATCTTCCTTTAAGCTGTGGAGGTAATTCTGTTAGATATGCTTTCCTAACTATATTTATTAGCTCCATATTAATTTATAAATCTATCATAAAAGGTCATCGATGTCGACGAACTTGTCATTCTGGAAATTGTCTTGTGGGAGAAAAATGCGTCCAGACCTGTGGTAAGCCTCGTAAAACATGTGGTCATCCTTGCACATATACGTAAGTAAAAGATCTTCCTGTTGTGACATACGAATACCACATTAAAAAGTCTATTTATTAACCGTGTCGATGTATATGTTTTTTATATTAGATGCCATGCACCAGCAAGGTGCCCCGAAGATACACCGTGTAATCATAAGATTACAATTAATTGCAAATGTGGTCATTTGTCTCAAGAAGTGACCTGTAATGTAACTTCAGAAAATTTTGAGGAAATAAAAGATCGACGGTTAGAATGTAGCGAATCTTGTGCGATGGTAGAAAGAAACCGTAAATTAGCAAGTGCACTAGAATTGAACGATCGCATTAATGAAGGGTAATATATTAAATATAAATTGGATTTCTTTTTGTCATTTAATAACGTATATTTGTGATTCTTATAGAGATCTTATCAAGGCGATCCCCGAGTACGAAGAAGATTTACTTCGATATTATAGTTCCAACAAGGATTGGGCTAAAAATATTGAAAATTCACTGAATGAGTTTCTCATGAAGCCCAATAAAACTTTAAATTTTCAACCAATGAAGTCAACACATAGGAAGTTCATACATGAATTGTGTGTTCATTATCGATTATCATCTTGTAGTTTTGATGTTGATCCATACAGAAGCGTCGTTGTGACAAAAAAGCCTGATTCTGCTATGTAAGTTTTTATTTACTCATTATAATTCCATAAACTTGAATATTAATGTAAATTTTTTATATAAAGCCCCCCATTACTGCTTTCGCAGGTCTTTGCTAAACAGGGTAAACTAGGTGGTCAATCATTAAATGCGACTTCTTCCTCCACAACTATTGAGCAGTCCGCGCGTAAAACAAAACAACCAGTTAATGCTTTATACTTGTCAGAATTAGCGACTGGATTAACTAAGGAAGAACTACAGAAACTTTTGGATCCATTATTAGGAAAATTAAAATTTCAAATTAAATGGGTCAACGATGAAGATGTAGTTCTTATACCATTCGTCGGTTCAATGCATATGGACGACCTAGAGTCCCAATTGGTGAAGTTGAAACTTTCTGCTAAGGATAGTTTGATCTCAAAAGGAATTGTAACATGGGTGGAATTATGTTGGATTAACTCAAAATATGAAGTTGTTTGGCGTGAAAGAAGCAAATTGTTGCATGGACCTAACGTTTCTGCTTCACGTGTGGTTGCTTCTTCAGTGTCAATTGGCAGTACAAATCCATACGTTGCACTGATGAATTTCACCGATAGATCACATACAAATGGTTTGTCGGATGTTTGTACCAAAAGTAGTAGTGATAATACTGGCACATGCAGTAAACAAATTCCTAAAAGTCCAGTTATAAATAATGGCGATAGCATTGTTGACGATTGGGAATTATTAAGTGATGACTAATTGCCTCTTTAATTTTAAAACATAATACAATTATTTTTACTTATTTTTTAAATTAACTTTATGAATTTTTAATACAGTACAGAGTATTATAAAATGTTACCTAAAAATTTGATTTCTTTATTGAATAAATATAGAATATTAATCTGACAATGTTCAATAATTTTATATACTGTATATTGTAATGGTCGATTGGTGATGCTCTCGCTAAGATTAGCAGAGATTCGCGTAACCGCTTCTTTGTTTGACAAAGTGTTCTCTATTTTTATTAACATCGTATTTAGGGACGTTAAAAGTCTGATCCTTGAACCATTTAATTATAAACCATTTAAGACTTGAATCGAATCATTTTATTATCAATCCTTATGATCCTATATATTTAATAATTTGCATGCATTTATTTATTTTATTTTAAACCTTCAGCAGAAGCCTATTCCACTGTACTTTTTATTTATTTGTAGTTGTTGCACATATATGTATAGTAAAAATATTATAATAGTGGCTTGCTACTGGAACATATACAAGTCATAATGGTTCAAGCCAGCATACCTGGGCTATTAAATAATGTATTGTAATATTGGATTGTAAGATTTTTAATTCTTTTTCTATATATTTTTCTATGTTTTTAATTCATGTTTCTGTAGCTTGTATTTGTTTTACTACTTTATTGTCAATTTTTTTTTCAATTGTTTGTTTGCTTATTTTTGTTTACATTTTTATTGAAATACAGTATATGCTTTTGGTATATAAGATATTATAGTAGTACCAATTTAACAAACTATTACTATTCAAATTAATTCCTTACTAAACTTTTTAAAACAGTATTATATATATTTATACAGTATATAACTAATTATATATTATTAACTTAATGTTACGTATATATAATTACTATTTAAACTTTTGTTTTTGAAAAATATACAAATTCTTTTTAATTTTTTTCAAAACAATTTTTTATTATTAAGAATAATCTAATTACTAGATTATTAATTATAATATTTTGAATTCATTTTTTTTTTATTGTAAATAAGTATAAAATATATAATTTTATTTTTTTATTTTTTTTGGTAAGTAAATATTATTACTTTATTGATTGTAAAATTGTTTAAAATTTATACATGGAAAAAACAACAACATCTCTTATATAATTAGCTAAGTTAATAAGTTTAATGCTAGCTTGCCTACATAAACTATCTTAGCAATAAGAAAAATAAATATTAAAACCATTACATATTTGAAATAATATTAAGCAGCTATAAATATCTACTTAGAATTATTAATAAGATTATTAAAGATGATTATTAAATTTTTGTAACATAAAATAGAATTATAATTGCTATTAATAAATTTATTTGTAACTAGAAATGGAATATTTATTATTAGGGCTTTTAACAATACCACTTTAATATCATTTCGATATTAATTTAATACTCAAATTTATTATAAATTTATATAAATAGGTCACAACTCATATATTAAATTTACTATGGATTAATACTATTTCAATACCAATTTGGTATTTTTTGAAATCCTATCCACTGTGATCAAAATCCGTTTGATCTATATCCAAGTGGTAGTTTTTAGAAGGAATTAGAGATTATATAAAACAGTTCGTCGTTCCAGAGATAATCTCTTACAAATATTCCAAGGTCTGGCAAAGATTCCCCAATGAATCTTTGTAACCAAAATGTATTTAATAAAATAATAATACTTTATTAAAACACCGAGTCAGAAATTCCAACGGTTACAGAAGTAAGTTATTAGAAACTGATTAAAAATTACATGGATAGCAGCTACTTATATAGTATTTTCTATCCTAAGCTGTCTGGACTGCCTGATCTACGTGTCGCAATGTCATAATTTCATAAATCATAGGCCTTGTAGGTCTTCTGGGTCTTTCAGGCTGTTTGGACCTTCTAGACTGTCTAATCTACGTCACACGTGCTATAAATAGATATTTATACTATAATAATATTATAAATCCTACTGCTAAAAATAAACCAATAATAATTCGATAAAAATAAGTAAACATAAAACTAAGTTATTTATTCTATCACATCACCATTAGTTTACTATAAGAGTTTAAGTTAGATATAAAGTTTGATACTTCCTAATTTGAATTTTTTGGATTGGTACTATTATTATTATTATTATTACTATTATTATTTCTTTTTAGCTAGTAGAGATTTGAATTCCACTTGATTTCAGTAATGAAAGATATGTTTACTATATTGTATCTTAGTTTCCAAATAATATTATAAAGCAGTATAAGACTTTCAGAAACTGCTTTGATTTGGATAATAGTATCTATTATTATTTTTTTTTTTTCAACTAGCGAGGCCTTGCCTAACATACTTTATTTAGTTTACATGTGTATTTCTTGTTACAAGACTTA